GAAAAAAGGTGCAAAAACATAAATGAAGGTTGGACTACAAACTATATAATATTTAGAAATAGTGCCGTCAAAGGCAACTCTAATCAAGCGTAAAGCAACTGAGGGTTTCAGCACTTCTACAGTTTTCTGGGAGTTTTTTCCAGATTAGCGGAGAAGACCTGACAGGTCTGGGTGGTCAATTTACTGACAACAAATCTGTAATAAATTTTGGAGCTAAGCCATTCCGTGATTTATACACTAAGAGATGTATTTTAGTCTATTTTATGAGATATGAGGAGCCAGTCGAAGGACTCTCTCTTTACTTTCTTAGATATGGGAAAACTCCAGGCAGATGCATTCCTGCTGTAACATACTTTTTAGGCAAAAATAACCCAGTGACTTCACGCTAATGTAAAGATTCCATTCATAAGCAGATGCTATAAATTCCACACCACCTAATCATTTACACACTATTCGGGATAAACGTCCATTTATTATGAAATAGCCCGGCATTTCCAGCGATTAGGCTTTTCTTTAGGCTAAACAAAGTGTACAACCTCTAAAGGCCAAAAGACTTTTCCTTAACTTACGCATTAGCTAAAAGGCTTTAATACCTTTAATAAGCTTCTATTAATAAAACACTAGCTGGCGCTGCCATGGCTTCACAGTTTTTAATACTTCAAGTTTGCTGTTCTTCCTTTCTGATGCTGTCTGCTACAATTAAATTTCTGTCCAAGCCAGACTCCAGGAGAATCAACTTTAATATATATAACTGATATATAACTGATATAACTGAACAAGGATTTCTTATAAACTCATGCTACACAATACAGACACTCTGTCTGCACCGGTAAAGAATCACTTACCAAAGCAAGCCAAATGCACAAACTGACAGCAGTCCAACTTGATCTTCTTGGATAAAAGGTCGTTAGAGGGGAAACTATCTATATTTCCCATTTACAGTTAGTTTGAAATGTTAATTGAAAAAACAGTTTCAATGTTTAGTCAAACTTTATGAAGCCAACAGAAAAAAAGGTACAAAAAAAAAGGTAAAAGCTAACCAGTTTTTTTTTCTTCATTGTTTGATGCAATAATCTGCTGATAGAGCCTACTGCAGTCCAAATGAAAGTAACAATAAAAGGAAATTTATATGACAATCAGATAAGCAATGCGTGAGCTCTCTTTGTGCCTAAAAATGGCACGATGATCTGCCCGGATGAATGTCACCTCCTTTCAGTTTAATATCCTGATCTCATTCAGATGCAAATGTCGTTTTTATTATTTCTGACAAGTTTTATATGATGACAAACACATGAAAGAAGGTCCTAATCTTTTTTTTTCTTTGCGGGCCTTGAAAATACACCATTAAGATATTACTTATTCGATAATAAATATTTTTTTCTGACATCTTTGTCAAGCATTTAAAAAAAACATCAAATGTCCTTAAAATACGACCTTTGACAGATTATTTCAGGAATGTGTGAATGTACTTACACAATCTATTATGGTCTAAAAATTCAACATTATTGTCTTAAAATTGGTGAAGCAAATAAAGAATAATATAGGGAATTTTTATTTTTTTGAGCTGATGTAATGTTTTATCACCTGTTTGACTCTTATTACTGATTGTTACGTCATGTACCTGTGCTGACACAAATGATCAATGCTTAAAGGTTCTGTCCCAGATACTGGATGTAGGCTAAAGACCATTGTGAAAATTATACTAAAAAAAAACAAAACTAAATAATCCCCACAACAAAAATATGAAAACCCAGGGTTAATGAGGATTTCATAAATGCTAAGCATATGGATTTGGGTCGAGGTGATGTTTAGAAGAAATCAGAAAAGGAAAAAAACAAAGGGTCGCAATTTTAGAAACTTTCTCTAAGTAGAAACACAGCTCAGAAAATGTGTGCCTCCACATGAATGTACTTAATACCCCTGAAAACGCTCTGAAATTATGCCATGCCTGTGGATGGGCTGTGATGCAATGATGGAAACAAGCCGAGAAGGGAATTGATCATGCGTACAACACTGTACCGAACTGCTGATGTTGTCACTTTCTGAGTGTGATGTATTTCTGTTGGTCAAGAAGTAGGCCGATGAAACAAGCACCTCAGGCAATGTTGCAGTAAGGTATTAGTCAAAGAGTTGGTTAGCCAAATCTTTTATTCACAAGTGTAAGGTTATTATAATCAAACCCTCAAGAGTCTGTTTTATAAAAGAACCAAAGCTTTATTTTTCTGTTCTTCCTCCACTATCAGAAAAACTATCAAAGCTGTGTCCCTATTCATTAATTCTAGAATATTTCTATAATCTTTACTCATGTTAATATATGTAGTTGTTTGTTTGCAAAAGTAAAAAAGAAAAAAGAAAACTGATTTCTAATAACTAATAACTAATAACTTTCTAATAACTGATAACTAATTTCCTTTTTTGATTTAGTGTTAGGCTGGTCATAAGAGTTGCTCAAATGAATGAAACATATGTGTGATCTTAAATACCTCCAAACTAACGGGTAAAGTTAGCCTTAAAGGCCTCCAAGCTAACAGCTTAAGTTAGTCTGAGATGCCTCGGAAATAATAGCTTATGTTAGCCTGGAAGCCCTCCAAGCTAACAGCTTAAGCTAGCCTGGAAGACCTAAGCTAACAGCTTAAGTTTGCCTGGAAGACATCCAAGCTAACAGCTTAAGTTAGTCTGAGATGCCTCCAAACTAACAGCTAAAGTTAGTCTAGAATACCTCTGATGAGCTAACAACTAAAGTTAGCCTGAAATACCTTAGATGGGCTAACAGCTAAAGTTTGCCTGGAAGACATCCAAGCTAACAGCTTAAGTTAGTCTGAGATGCCTCCAAACTAACAGCTAAAGTTAGTCTAGAATACCTCTGATGAGCTAACAACTAAAGTTAGCCTGAAATACCTTAGATGGGCTAACAGCTAAAGTAAGCCTGCGACACCTCTGCGCTAGTGGCTAAAGCTAATGGCTGCAGTAAGTTTAGTCAAGCAAACGTATTAAACACATAAATGCTGCAGAGGACTGCTTTGCCATTTGGTTCTTACTGAAACTGCTTGTATTTCACCCTTTTCTGGTACTGTATAATTCACTGTATTGTGTGATAATATAGATGGTTGAGTCACTCATTTACTTTACAAATCAGGTTGTGATTTCTTCACACTCAGGGTAAGGAGGGATTCCCATGCTGGCCGTCACTGGAATGTTTTAGGAATAATCCAAATTTGTTCCAAAAACTCTTTTAATGTATGAAAAAGATTCAGCATTCAGAAAGTCCATTGGTTCAACTGATGTGGGGGTGGGCATTACATATGTGTTTTTGTTTTATTTCATTTTACATTCAACATGCATGTTTTTGTTGTTGTTTTTTTGCCAGCCCAATTGCAGGAGAAATATAGCACAGCAAAACATCTGAAACAGAAAAAAAACAAGCTAGTCTGCATGTGTTTTTCAGTACTGTACCCTGTATCCCTGTATGCACGTGTCTGCTGTGTATGCTTTGATGTGTATGCCATCATCTTTGCAGAAGATCACGGGATCATCTCTCTCACTGTCTCTAGCATTGCAGAAATACAGCCATCTGTCACTCCTAATCAGCAGAGAGCAGCTTGCATGTTCACAGGGTCTTACAGTGGAATGAAATCGCTTCACACACACATAAACACACATATATACACACAGAGTACGCTAATGCTGACACAGTAAATCACAGAGCGGAGCACTGCATCCCTCTGGCAGTTGCTCATTAGAACATCTGGAAAACACAAAAAAGCCATTGGAACATTACCAAGCTGCACAAAAAGTCATTATTTATGGTGTAATCTATTACTTATTTTTCATTTGATACATATGTAAGTTTTGAAAAGTCAAGCTTTGTAGATTTTATTGTAATAGAATTCTACAAAATTTAAATGTAGCAAATAGCCCTGCCAAATAAATGGATGTCCATGCACCCCATGTTCATCAATCCATCTTTCGGTTAAATTTTTGAGAATAGAAGGAGCATAAACAAAATAGAGTAAAAGGGGTCATCATGTCTTCTGGCAGCCCAAGCCCATAGCAGCACAACTACATAGATAACTCCGGATAACCCGAGCCACTCTAACTCTAAGCTTTATCAAAAAGGAATGTTTTAATCCCAGTCTTAAAAGTGGACAGGGTGACTGCCTCACAGAATAAAACTGATAGTTGGTTCCATGGAAAAAGTACCTGATAACTTAAAGATCTGCCTGCCATTCTATTTTAAGAATACCGTAAATCCTCTAATATTGGTCTGTATTCCATTAGCGGCCGGGACTCTAATAATGGCCTGTCTCGCTGTCGGCGGAGGTAAATAATGGCCGGACTCGTATATAGGCTGGGGCTATAATTAGAACTAACAATGTTTCTGGGTAGTCGCTCAAGAACTTGTGATAGTAACACACTTTTTCATCCACTACACATTCGGACACTCATCTAAAATGGTGTAATAGGGCACTATATAGTGATTAGGGTGGACATTTGAACACAACCAATTTGTCTGCCCTAATACTCACAGTTTCGCTCTTGCGGCACTCAATTGCGCATTCATTCTGAGAGTTAGTGTAGGGTGCCCCATTACAAAGAGCGCTCTGTCCCCCAGGCCCTCTAAGCACCCTTGAATTGTACAGTATAACCCACAATTCATTGCTGCTATGACATTTCATTTTTGAATCAGAGAAAATATAAGCAATGTTTTTCTGGGCTTATGTGAGATAAAAATTAACAGCTACAAGAACAAAAATCCCAAAATAACATCAGCAATAAACATATTGAAGGTTTACCATAAATGTGAATTTGGCTTTTTTAATCAAAGAAAATGTCTTAAAAAGAGAATCTGAACTCTTACATAATTTCCCGATAAGAAAACTTGTAGAGTTCTTTTTTTAGTGTGGACTGTTAAAGGTTAGCAACACTTAAGCAGGGTGGGGAAAAAAAAAATCAAAGTCTATGATGATGACACTTGGTCTTATTTGTTCTTTGGTAATCAGGCCTGTCCTGTGTCCCTGTCCTGCCACCTCGCCGGGGTTCCTTCTACGTGGAGAGTGGTACTGGCATGTCGATTGGCAGTGTGCTAGCCTTCTGGTGCAGAGAGGGATACCAGCTGGTTGGCAGTGACAAAATCTCCTGCTATGTCAGAAGGGGAAAAGCCCAGTGGAGCAACTACCTGCCCGTCTGTGAAGGTCTGTAGATCATCTCTGAATGTTTTTTTCCTTAATCATATATGCAACTTAGAAAAAAAAAAGACATTATTTTCTAAACATCTCAGGCTTAAAGCTGATTTTTACACCATAATCTAGATAGAAAAAAGGTTGGGGAAGTTAAATCATCAGTTGATATAATTTTGTTCTGTCTTGTATCAGCAATCCCCAGACCGGAGGACAGAGGACTGAGAGTAGCGGTGTTAGCCTCAGTTGTGAGTGGCATCGTCATTTTCGCCATGTCCTTGTCCTTCCTCGTCTGCTGCCTGCAGGAGCGGTCAAGTCGGGACCGTGCCAAGAAAGAGGGCCGCAGCAGGTGGGCTTGAATACATGGCTGGGAAACTCATTCACTGTTGTCTAGTCGTGGTAAGCTGAAAGTGGTTCATCTTGGTCAGGCGGAGAGAGAAGCGATCAGGTCGCCGCAGTGAGTGTTGGCTGGAGACAGAGGAAGGAGAGTGGGAAGCCTTCCCGCCACCAAAGATCTTCCACCTGTCCCAAAGGATGAACCCCCGCCTCGCTCCTGACAGTCCCCTCTACCTGACAGGAGGCCTCGGTGGATACGAGAACAGAGGATACCAACGGTACAGATGGTTTTTCACAAGGATTATGATATTATCCTTAAGGCACATTGAGAGTGAAAGTATAGTATAAAATGTGAAGGTGTACTTTTTTTATTTATCTAACATATGATTATGAAAATATTGATTATACCATGAAATCATAAAAATGTACAATCAAATGATTAAGTACCCCATTACATAATTAAAAATACATTCAAAATAATAATAAAGCAAATGTAATCTAATAAATATACATGTTAAAAATATACAATAAAATCAGCTTGTGATAATTCTGGTCAATTTTAGCATTTTTGTTTATTTTATTTTTTTGGGCATGTGCTGATTCATCAGTACAAATGAAGAAAAATCAATGGGGACTAAAAATATCTGGGCCAAAAACTTGGGGATCAGTTGGACTAATGGCAGAATAATAAGCATTGGCTTGAACTTGCTTGACTTTGGATGGCTGGAAATCTAAATTCTTTGCATGCAAGATTTGTTTAAAATAATGTGTTCCTGTTATTCAAATCCACAGGCCGCCTCCTTGTGGTTCTTCCTTGTATTGTTCTGGTTTTTCCCTAACAGTTCCTGGAAAAAACAACAAGCCAGACTGATAATGTTTAGAATTAGTTCTACACATTAATAACTAATAATCTGGGACTGTTCCTATAGAATCTGTTCGGGAAGGAGGGACATTCAGCAGAACTGTCTGAGCTGGGAGAAGCAACACCTAGTGTCTGCCTACCAAAGTTTATTTAAAGCCAATCACGGTAAAAGACCAAATAGCAGCAGACTCAATGAGAAACCACAACAGTTTATGCTTAACGCTCTTGCTGTTCCTTTTCCAAAGATAAAATCGTAGATTCTGACTAAACAGATGTGATAGCATTGTCCAGCGGCTGCTCTTGCTTTCGTCACATCTATATGTCCTACCTTAAACCACAATACCACCAGCCATTGGTTCAGTCTCGATTAGTTGAAGCCATAGCCATGCAAGTTGGATTGGCGTGCTTTTGTGAAAAACACAAGAATTCAGGTTGTAGGCCAGGTTAGTCATTAGACATTAGCTGCAACTCTACAAGGCACCACTTTGTGGTTCTTCTTGAGGGATTTGCATTGTCCTATATTTATTTTCTAATGGTGAGAAAATGCTAAATGGAATGTCAGGCCGCAGTGTTCTTGATAGTATTAGCATTATTTTTTTCCAAACCCAAACACAAATGCTTTTAGGCGTCTATTGATTGCAGATTGTTGGAGCCTCTACCTTTCTAATGAACAGTTAGTCTAATGAACTTTCTACATTCCTTCTGAATAAAAGCAGACTTTTTTTCTCTTCTTCTGTGTCCTGTTCAGGAGTCAGGAAAGTTTGCTGAAGACCTCCCTGCCTGGACTCTACCGTTCTGAGTCGCAGCTGTATCCACATGTGGTCCTTCAGAGGGTCCCGACCCCTACCGCGCCCTCTGCTCCTTCCGCGCCGTCGGCCCCAATGTATCTCCACCTTCCTCCGTCTTCCTCTGGAGGATCCTCCCCGGTGCACACCACTACCCAAAGCCAGCCACCGTTAATGGCACAATACCCAACACCAACATATCCGCCCAACCCCAACGCTGCTGTACCTGCCTACCCCCATCCAACACCAGCACCCATTTACCCCAACCCAAACCCGCCACCTCAGAGGCCATGGCAGTAACTTCCATCCTCTGATTCTGTAGGTTGTTCAAGCTGGATATGCAGTGAGCTCAGAGAAAGAGGGGGACAGACTTGAGTTCTAGAGAAGACCCTCTACTCTTTCTTATCCCCCTTTTCTCCCACAGAAGTCTGAAAACACCCTGCTCCAGTGCAGATAAGAAGGACAGGAGGCAAACGACAAAGCACTCCTTCTTACTGCATGTTTGATGCACTTTTCCTGTGGCCAGAACTCAACCAGTCAATGGTTTGTTTTCTTAGGTCTTGCAGAAATAGAAGGTCCTCTTAGAAAACTGGTTTCTGCACCATTTTGCAAGGAATTCTATGAAACCAGTGAACTCAGGGGCTTGGGTTGGGGTTAGAATTTGTGCACTAATCTAAAATATATGAGAAACATGCAACAGTAGGTGTGTTTGGGCCATTTAATTTATTTTCAGCCTTTTCCAGGTGTTTCCGATCTAAAAAAGATCTTAATGAAAGGATACATTTACTTTTGAGATTAGTTTCATGAATGCAGCTCTTCCTAATAAATTCTGGTACTTTCTAAACCGTTAGTGACTGAAATGCTGCTATTTTAAGTCCCTCTTGCACTGTTTGTTTAAACTACAGAGATGATTCTCAGCTGACCTGCGACACCTAAACAATTTGTATTTGTGGTTTCTCTATGTTATCTGACTGACAGATGTGATCTGATTTGCTTAAGGTAGAGCAGTTAAAGCTTTTGGTAGGACCAGGGTTTAAAAGAGTAACTCTTAAGCTGATGAAAATAAAAGTTTTAAAGGGATCCAGGACTAATTAAAGATGCTGGCCTGAATATGTTTTCATTTTCTTATTAACTTACAAATGTCCATTTTATGATACATCAAAACTCATTGCCTCATAGATGATATTGTTATATTTTTCACTCATGGAGATCACCATTTGTTAACCTGCGCAATGCATGCTGGGTTAGTGATGCAGTTAGGTCTAACTGCACTGAAACCTACAGAGTAAACACAGGAAGGCTAACATTAGCAAAGTTGTTTGAATTTTGACACTGCAACAAGTGGCTGGCTCAAAGACTACGTGCACACTGCAGCCTGAAGTGACCCAAATCCTATTTTTTGCCCATATACGACCTGGATCTGATCTTTTCATGGCAGTCTGAACAACACAGATACGATTTTTTCCAACCCGGGCCACTTGGCTATGTGGTCCTGAATCCGATATGGATCTGATCTTTTCAAATGCTTTTCAAACCTGTGTAAGAACGGCCAGAACTTCATTTATACCCGACAAAGGTCACTATTCTGGGTCTTGCTAAGCTGAAGCGGCCATAAAAACAACAACCATGGCAGATGATGATGCGGAGAGCAGTATTTATGTTTAACCATCTTGAAAATATTGAGTTTTTATGGTTGGAAAAGACCGCTAGATGCATGCCGGCACTTACATCCATGTTTACTTTCGGAAAAAAAGAGCACGCTGGCCTAGGACTTCATTGCATCCTCTACTGTGCATGCGGGACACTTGTATTGTATGACTGCAGTTCACACAGGAGATCACATACAAGTCGCATATACTTGGAAATGTGAACTGCAACGTAAAAAAATCGGATTTCACAAAAAAATTGGAATTGAGCATTAAGGGCTGCAGTGTGAACGTAGCCAAAGTTTTCATGAGCCATTATACAGAAGATATCTACAGAAACATTTAATGTGATCAGCTTGTGATCTAATGTTTACTATATTAGCTAGAGCTAACACCATTAGCTACGGCTAATGTGAAATAAAAGATAACGAACAACCGATTAAAGTGACAGAAAGCCTCTTCCAGTCTTTGTAAAAGATAATTCTGAAAATGTTTTGATCCCGTTGCTAACCATAAAAAGCCTCAGAAACTTCACAAATATCAACACTCTCCGTGAACCATCTGATTCAACCTTTTCAGTTCGAACTGGAGTAATACCTCCAAGCTAACAACTGGACAGTGCAAGCACTACAGGACCTAGCATACGTCATTTACTCTGCAAGTATAGTAGCATAAACAAAATGGCAATAATATTGTATTTAAAGTCGTAGATAAGCGGCTGTTCCAACCGTTGTATTTCCAAATTCTCCCGAGTGGTGCCTCGATGAAAAGAGATGAAAGTGCTTTACACAAGTGAATAAAGTGAATGTGATTGGTCGTTTATTAAAGGTCGAGATTATTGTGGCCGAAGGTTCGCAAGCAAGTTTGGTTGTGGCCAGTTTGTCGGAAGCATCTTGCTAACCAGTTAGCAACTTAGTGCTAGTAGGTTCCCAATGGGAAATTCCATTGGGACCAAGTAGCACTAAATTGGTGACTTAGAAACGACACTATCTAGGAAGGCTATGGACAGCGGAAACATGGAAGAGGAGGAGAGTTTAGTGTCAGAGGTCGTGGATGAGTCTCCGTCATCCATTTTTTATTCAGATGAGGAAAGCGGGGACAAAGATGTTGTGGAAGAGGACGCCAGGGCGGCAGAAGCTTGGTTTGGTGTAGAAGGCTTACAGCCGTACATGTTTGAGCCCTTGCCTCGCAACGCTGCCAGTTCTGTTAGCTGTACGCCTGCTGAAGACACAGACGTCCATCCCCGTGAACACTGGGACGGAACTCGGTGGTAAAGTACTTATTTCAACGGTTGCGTATATTAGCTGCAACATATGAATCAAGATCTATTACCGAAAAAATTTAATTGACAGATGACTTTTGATATATTATTGGCCGAATTTAGGTGTACAAGCTGACATATAACTAACTGGCCTGCATAAGATAACGAGAAAAGAAAAAAAAACACAGCCTTTAAGACAATTTTGCGACAATATAGCCTGATAAAGAGTACATTTATATACATGTTTAAGCCAGAATTATTAGAAATTTAAATATGATTTCCCTACGACTTTAAATGTATTAAAAATTAATAGTTTATCATATTTAAAAGGACTGTTTATTTACATAGAAACTAAATATTTCTCAAATAAACTCTATTATTACAATTACAAAATGGATTCCTTTAAGAATGTGTCATGTTTTACATCATTAAAGTTGTATTAAAAATTAAAATGGATTGCAACTCCATATTGTGTGTCCACTTTAAACATATGCAGTCCCCGGCAAAAGTATAAATATATCTTACAGTTGCAAACCCTTAGAGGGTATCCACCCATGTTTTATGTTAATCTTTGACCTGATCAGACAGGAAAAGTTCATGAAGAACAGTTTTTCAATTCTTGTTGCAGATATTCCGTTGGATTTAGTTTAGGAACAAATAAACTAAATAAAATAATATTTATCTAATCTGTTTCATTGTTTTTCTTGGTGTATGCTTCATCCCAATTGAAGGTCCATACCAGCTTCTAGAGGTTGATAAAGAAATATCATCCCTGCAGCATGTCTGCAAGACTGATGGAATTTTGTCAGATATTTATTATTAAAAAATAGAAACCTATTTTATTAATTTCCTTCTAGATTCCAATACCCTACATTACATTACATTAGGTTTTTTCACATTAAAGCTCAATGAAAGACATCGAGGTTTGTTTGTATCTTGATAAAATGTGGAAAAGTTCAAGAATACTTTTCCAAAGCTCTGTAGTTTAACAATAATCTTCATATTTTTTGTCCCAGTCGTATCCGCATTTAGGTTTAATGTGAACTTTTTTCTTTTTATTTTTATTTTATTCTATTAGTTGAACTTAAATTAAAATGGAAATAAAGTCACAGTCTTCTGTTTTTGAATGGGTTGAGTCGGATAGACTTTCATAATTTCTGAAAGTGAACTGCTATGTAGGATGCATTAAACTGAATAAAATATTTTTATTTTAATGTGATCGCCTGCTTTTTATTTCTAACAGTTACAGAAAACTTGGTTCCTCTGCGAAGACAGTACCATACTTGGTACACAGTACTACAATATGACAAAAAAAAAAATGAACGTTCTTAACTATAAGTGCATTTGCCATCGTTGGCTTCATCAGCTGCCATAAACCAGAGTCTTCAACGTCTTTTTAGGAGCGGAAGAAAATTATATCCCAACATTGTTCCTAATTTAACACCCAGTTTAAGGTAAACCCATAGCCTTTTAAACAAACTTTAGTCAAAACTTTGACTTTTAAGCTTCGTGTATTTAGATTTGTAAGAAAAATTTTGCATTTATGGAAAAAAATCAAATTTAATCACCTGCTCATTTGTTTTGTCACTTCTTGGTTTGAATGCTTTAGCATGTCGTGGCACAGGAGAGCAGCCAGGCTGGCAGACTGACAATTCTCCAAGGGGTAAGAATACTTTTATATGTCGTTCTACTTAGTACAGAATTGCTTTAGTGTTTATTTTGTAATTTAAAGCCTTATAGCTGATTTTTCATTTAACATTTTATTAAAAATGTGAATTGAACAAATAAATTAAATTTCAGGCTAAAGAGATCTTAATTTATTTGAACACACCCTCCAAGCTAAATTAGGGTATTTTTAGGCAATACTTTTTGCAGGCCTGGAAAAAAACCACCTTCAGAGAATTTGTTCTATCCTGTTTAGTTAAAACACTCCACTATCTTTGTCCTGGGGGGGGAGATCCAAGCACAGCAGACATCTGGTGAAAGTCTGAAAATATCCCCCAAACCCTGCAGAGATCCGCAGCACGAGCGCAGAGACATTTCTGCCTCCAAAAATATTTCTGCTCAAAATTCTGTGCATCAGTGGCTTCCAACCAGTCAGGAACTCGCCGTTCTTAAGGGATGCCAAAGATCAGCAGGTTTTCACCTAGAAAGGGTTCTTAATTTTAGAGGTACACACTTAGGCATAATTTTTAAATATCAAAGTAAAAAGAACTTGATAATTGCATCTGTTTCTATAATGGTTTGTGCTGTTAGCATGTTTCATGTTTTATGGATGTAAGATCCAGTAGGGGTGGATATTTTAGGAGAAAAAGACGATTCTCTATCTTTGTCAGCATTTTTTAGTTGGAGTGCTAATCTTTTAAGCAACAGGTCTATCCTCTGAAGGCCATTCCAAGTTAAATAAAACCAAAGACCCACCCCTTGTTCTCCTGGGTTGTTGAAGTATGGTTTATGTGTTTGAACATTTGCCAAAGATTTTTGGATTTTAGATTTTTTGGGATTTTGGATAGGTGCCAAAACATCTCCAGAAAAACCTTGCCTCTGATTTTACGGTAAGTTATTTTGTGGTTGCCATGAGCCAGCAGATTTAGAATTTCCACAGCCATAATGCATTCGAAGGGTCTCTGACTGTTCCATATACTTCCAAAGTCATTTTATAACAGGGGTTGCTGTGACATTTTTTGTTTGTTATTTTTGGATAAAAGACCTATGGGCCTATAGACCTATTTAAAATAAAAATAAATAAGTAGATTGTGATTAAGTAGTTTGTTGTTTATTATTCAATACTACGCATTACAC